CGGATTTTCAGCCAATCAGAATAGAGCGTTTTACACGCACCGCTTATCAAATTTTTGCAAATTTAATTTAAAATGAACGCTGTAGTGGAGGATCTTAACTTGATCTTTTTTTTTGGGGTGGGGGGAAGATTTTTTTAAATTCTAATCAAGAGTGGATTTAGAGTTGTGGGGTAATTTGCTCTCTATTTTATGAAACACATACCCTCTAAATTGCCCTCTACTTTATGAAACCGACACCCAAGGGATACCCTCTTTCGTACAATTTGACGCAGTTCGTTGTTGGCTGGCTGAAATGTAATCTCTTCCAAGAGCACTTTTGATGCAAGGTTTTATTTATATGGGGAACAACGAATCAAAACCATGTTAGTTCATTTTTAAAAAAGTATATTTTGTGCATTTATTTTATGACAACATAGGGTTATTTTACGGTTTCATGAAAGCTTTGAAATGAGTCTGCCCGACGGCATTATTAAAAAAAGAAAATATTTAATACATCGCGTGCTTCTTTGCGAAGTTTTTTTGCTGCAAACCACCAGCACCCAGTTTCAAGAGTTTAACAATTGATTATATCAAAATTGTGGTAGCTGTCCTGATAAAACTGTAAAAAAAATCTATTATAATCAATTAACAATCGATTATAAACTCTTGTTTTCAATAAGATTTTCAATTATCTCTTGTATTTTGAAGATATGAATTCACGCAATTATAATCGAATTAGAGTCGTTAGAAAAACGTAGAAAATGCAAAGTTTTTGATACTCACATAAGAAGAAATTGGTAACGCATTTATGTAGAAATGACAGCTGACTAATCCAAAACAAAATAATTAAAATTTTCGAAAAGCAAAAATGGTAAACTAAACTGCAGAACAACTCTCAGCTTCTGCTAAAACTAGGGGCCAGCTAAAGCTGAAGGTACCTGTTCAATATTTTCAGAACATGTTTAACTGATGCGGGATGAACGCTTTTTTTTCAAAGCCCAAAATCTTAGCTGTTTCTCTGCTAAAAAAGTGCTTAGCATCTAAAGTAGGCGAGATACCTTACCCGATCTCACAAATGAACTCAAAATGAACATAGACAGGGTAGGGGACTTTTCTCCTAATCAATTGAACTCCTAACTGCGATTTCGTTTATAGTGAAAAATTTTCCATATCTGTTTTTTCGATTAAACTCCAAAACTTAGGTAGTGCCCTGTAGTTTTCGAGAAGTAAAAAAATTTCCAAAATATTGGAAAACGGCGAAAACTTCAAAACGTGGACTTAGGAGTTTTTCTTGCAAACTTATGAGAGTTGACGCATCTGCAGTAAAACATTTCACATTCGATTTTTTTATGTTAACCTTAAATTTTATTTTTGGTGGGGTAATTTTTAAGAAGTCAGAAAGATACCAAATAACGGTCACAAAAAAACAAAATTTGACTTTTCCGAGTCTAATAGTTTTTTCCGAGAAAAAAATAGCGTAGCGGCTTATGCAGCGAAGAAACCCACAGTCTGTTTATCGATTGAATCATTAATCTGAGATTTATCAAGGTACTTTGAGAAAAATCAAAGTTTCGTAAAAACGGTCAAAAGTCTTTTCCGAATACCATGATTATTTTCCGAAATGAATACAGGAGAGCTTCTCAAATCTCGTTTTTGGTTATTGAAACCAAAAATTGAATTTGGTTAGAGTAATTTCAAAAAACGGTAAAAAAACAAAAAAAATCAAAAGAAAAAACAAAACGAGGGCCATAAAATTTCGTTTAAAAAGTTTGGACGTAGCCGCATATTCTGGTTGCTGTCCAAAGTCGGTACTTTTGATTGAACAGAAAATTACCGATTTGGGAGAGTAGAATCAATTTTCTTTAAAATCAAGCTTTGGAAACAAACTGATTGAAGAGCATACCAAGCAATATAATTTTCAATTAAAAAAAAAGAAAAATCAGCTAACAGAAATTAGAACGGTCAAAAAATCAAAACAATTGACTTTTCTGAAGGCCATACTTCTTTGAGATAAGAAATTGGTTGTAACCGCTAAAGCAGAGGAGCTTCCTGCAATCCGTGCTTATGATTAAAATGAAACCTCAGATAGGGCAGGTAATTATTGAGAAAACCAAAAACTCCAAAAAATGGGTCAAACATTTCTCCCTGACAATTTTTGAAGACTTTAGAATGTTTAAAAAGATAGAAAAAGATTAAGGTATTATGCAAGCGGACAGGTATGTGGGTGATTTTTTATTGGAACCATTTTTACAATCTTCGTTAAATTAGTTTTTGAGAACAACTAAGACGTTTAAGAGAAACGAAAAATTTTTCAAATCGTTTCAAAAAAAATAAAAAACGAACTCCCATACATTTTTATTATACTTGTTTTTGTCAACCAGACGCTATTTGAATCAAAATTTTAAAACATCAATTCTTTGGAAAATTTTGCTCAAAAAGCGTACCAGATGACATCAATTTCTTTTGAAAAAAAACGGCATGTCCTCCGAGGAAAATAAGGACGAAAACCACAAATCCGAAAAAAATTACCCCATTTTCAGTGCCAGCAGATTTAAAGAGCAAACAAAAATGAAAAAGATAAGATATTTACGGGTAAAAATCTAAATCCCGATTACATGTCACTTGCTCTCGCAAGTGAAATAAAAAGTCTGTATATTAAATCTAAAACTGCATAAAAATGCATGGAAGAATAGTTGAACGATCTTTTTGAAAGAAAAGAAATTGTATTAGAATCTTATCATTTTCTTGAGCTTTATTTAAAAATTGAAGTAGTTGATAATTGATTATTCAGAATTGCTGTTCTGAAAAAATTTTGTCATTTTTATTAGTTATAATACTTTTTAAGAGATTACTTGTTGGAATGATAATGTATTATAATGGATTATACAAGACTTCAATCTCTAGCAAAACATCACGATTACAATCGTTGTAAGAGATAACTTGTTGACAATTTAATCAATTGCAACAGATTATAAGAGATTATACTCTGTTGGAAAGTATCACTAAACTAATCGATTTTAAATCGATTCTATGACACCCGTTTAATATTAAGAACTAAGCAGCTACACTGCATCACGCTTTCTTTTCCTAGTTGTTGCTCTTATTTCACAACAAATCACAATGAACAAGAATCAATTTTTAAATTTATATAAAACAAGACTGCTCGTATCAGCACGAAGCCCTGAAAGTTCCGACTGCCTTTTAACGGTTATAGAGCAGTAAGCAACATAAAATAATTACATGAAATAAAATAAAATAAAAAAAAATTTTTTTTCTAAAGTTTGAAATTTTTTTAAATGAAAATCATCCTACCACACGCCATATAAAGTACAAAACAAAAGATTTCGCTCCTTGTAACAAATCAATTATGGCAAATAAGCTTCTTTTAACCAATTTGGAACGATTTCTAAGACGGATTAAATCTCCGCTTACGCCTTAATTGCGCAAAATATGTCGAGCATGATTCTTCCCAAATTGGCCAAAATGGCAATCTTTAAACCCTCTTAATTTTACAAAAAATGATTTCAGGTGAAATAACTTTTCAAATTAAGGCTCAGGACAACAATAGCTTTCGAATGATATAAAAAAAAGTCCGTCAAAAACGGCTAGCTAAAAAGTCGAAATTTGTCTGAAGAAAAAAAACCCCACCCCGAGCACAAAAATTCCGTTACTTTCTTATCAAAAGTCGGAACAATAATTTATGGTCGTGTTTCGAAGATGGGTTGATTTTAATTTTCAGGTAATTTTTAATTCTAGATAAAGTTCTTATCTCATTGCTGTAGAAAATATAACAGAACGAGTTTCAAATAGGTTAAGTAACTTGCATGGGTGCCGCTTAGCTTGCGCAATTAAAATAGTTACTGATTTAGAAGCGGCACGCACCACTGGGTTTTAGTAGAAAATATGAAAAACAAAAACTCATTCTTAATTACGCTAATAGCCGCATTGCATATTGAGCGGCACGCATGCAATCAGGCACATAGATAGATTTGGCTCCTTGTAACAAATCAATAATGGCAAATAAGCTTCTTTCAACCAATTTGGAACAATTTTAAGACGGATTAACTCTCCTTTTACGCGTTAATTGCGCGAATTAAATCGCGCGTTACGTGTCCCAAATTGGCCAAAATGGCAATCCTTAAACCACCATAACTTTACGAAAAATAATCACAGGTGAAATATGTTTTCAATTTACGCTCAGGATAACAATACCTTTCGAATGAATTTTAAAAAATGGGTCAAAATGGTTATAGTTTAAAAGTCGAAATTTGTCTGAAGAAAAATTTCACCGAGCACAAATATTCTGTTACTTTCTTTAAGCGAGGGAGGGGGGGTAACGAGACGGGGGGGGGGGTGAGGTGTAAAGTAAATAGCTTGGAGGGGGGTGGGTAAAGTATACTGGGGGAGAAGGGGTTCAAACAGATTATATAAGACGAAAAAATAAAAATATTTATATAAGTTTTAATGTGAATTTTTATGAAACGTACGCAGCAACTGCACTAAGGAAATAAGATAACTTTGAAAAAACTTGCAAGTTTCATGATTAACCTCTCGAAAATATCTTATTATAATTGATTATAATCGATTATAATTGATTATAATAGATTATATTGACATAAAAAATATAAATTATGAATAATTGTGATTCTTACTGTAAAATAAAAATTTTAAATTCTTATTAATAAATATAGAACAAAGAAAACCGATTGCTGTTTGAGTCGAACACAATGTTCGACCACACTAAATTTTGAAAAAACGGATAAACTCAGAATGGATTGTTTTCACTTTTTTTTAATTTTTGTTTTTGAAAGCCTCTGTCATTTTTGGGTACCAGGCAAGATTAAAATCAATTTTAAAACTCTTTCAAAAAGAGGTGGGAGTAAATTGTTTGTACAATCTTGCGTAAAATCTGTTCGGAAAACGGACATTTTGAGACAAGACAATTCTGTCTCGATACTGAGACAACTTGGGTGTTGAATATCCCCTTCGATCTCTGCTACAGCAATCAATGACTGATGAAGTTTTGGTCGAACTTTTAATTTGTACATTTCGAAATAAAATAAATCTTCAGATTTGGCCATATAGATTTTACGATAGAAGTAACAGGGTATACAAATCGGTTTTGGACAACGTCATGCCTTTATGTTCAGGGGCTGTGAAAATAATTTGATAGAATGACAATTTCTTTATTTTTTCTTCTGATAGTTTTAAGTTTTTACAGGCAATTCAAGCTAAGACTTCTTAAAAAGGTTGCTCATCAAACTTTATCACGCAATAAACATTACTTTTCACAACCCCTGATTACATAATTCTTACATAACTACTATATTTGACCCCACTAGTTTCCAGCTCCCTTTCCCTACAGCAACTACTACTATGTGGTCTACTTGGTGTATACCAGATGTCCGAGCGAGTTAGTTTCCAGAAGTCTGTACCCGTGGCCGGGAAGATTCGAGGCCGGACATGGCTCCGTTTGCTTGAGCGTGTACTCGGTTTTGTAACTCGTATTTCCCTCGAACGGCGCTTTGCTCGCGTCGACAAAGTTGTCGGGTTTGAAGCTCCTCTGGGGCGCCAGTCCGTGTTCCACATAATGCGACTTGTAAGTCGGCATACCTTCGAACGGGACGGTCGGCAGCTCGTAGTTCCTGCGACTCGGATCTCCTCGTCTCTCGGCTGTCGGCTGCCATGCTTTGTAGTCGGTTTTGAACGTAGTCGTGTCGTCGAATTGGGCGTCGTTGCCACTGTTGACGTTCTGGGGTTTCAGAGATCTAGCTGGTTGCAACTGGTGCTGGACGAAGTCCTTTCGGTGACTCGTCGTGTTGTCCATCACACCAGCTGGCTTCACATACGCATCGCGCACTAAACAGAAAACTGGAGAGTGAAGATTTATCCGAAGTTATAAACCAAGAAAATTAATAAGCCGAAAGTATATGAGCATAGTATAAAATCGGGCCAAAGTTAACGTCATTTGTGTTGATTCATGTCGGTAGCATAATGTTATTTTTTTGAAAAACTAATTAGCAAATTTCTTTTTTTCATTCGACAGAGTTTAGAACGACTGTTTTTTAAAATGTAGTGTTTGCTGACAAAAAAATTTTAAAATCTTTTACAAATAGTTTCAGATAAAGTTCGAGAAAAATAAATGAGCTGTTATCAAAGCCTTAATTTTACCAAAATGTACGATACTGCGGTTTCCTGTATTACTTAAATCGGCTATCTCTAATTATTAAACCTTTGTGGAGAAAGTTACTTTTAACTAGACCTAAATCAAGGGCGCGCCAAAGGGTTTTCAGACAGGCTTTTTCTTTGTAACTCTTTTTAACTCCTTTTTTAAAAATCACTAGATCAATCCAATTTATCTAGGAGAGAAGGGCCAATATACGAGTTATTAGGCTTTTTACGGAGACCGTTGTTAAGAACCCTGTTGAGAAAATGGTATGATTAGAAGTTTTGGTCGACCTTGACAGCCTATTTAACTTATTTTGAGGCGGGCATGCTTTCACAAGTTACTCTTCCTATATTTAATATTTAAAAAACAACACTGTTTGTGTGTGGCGTGCCGAGATTTACATGCGACAGCCTTTGATTTACAGTAATAATCAGCAACAAAAAGTTGGAACAGACAGAAACAATTAAAAAGAGCAATTGACCAATCTAGGAAAAATTTTGCATGCAAAAGTTATATTTCAGCCAGCATTCTTATCTCATGCTTATTTGAAACATCAAAATTGCATTTTAAAAAATCTGTCAAAACGGAAAGATTGCATTTATTTTTATAAAATCTGTCTATCCGAACTTTTTGAAACTGCAACTCTCTATTCGAAAGACAAGAATTAATTGAAAAGAGCAACCTGCCAATTTTGAGCAATTTTTGCAAGCACATTTGATTTTTTAGGTAACCATAAGACAGAACTTTTGCCTGAAAAATGAGCTTTTGCATATGCAAAATGTCTGAAATATGTCTTTGCTCTTTGTAACAAGTTTTGTCAGGTCGAACTTTTTGGAACTCTCTGAATATCGCAAGGTTATTTGAAACATCGAATTTGCATGCAACACTGTGTCAAAATGGAAAAAATTATCTTTTTAATTTAATCTGTCTGTAATGATCTTACCTCTGGTGTCTTTTTTGGGCATCTGCCACTGTTTGTAGCTGTCCTTGAACTCGGTGGCGTCGTCTAGAGGTTGATCCGAGTGCACGCCCGTGTTCTTCGGCTTGAAGTTCTCCTGTCTCGGAAGAGCGTGACCAATGTAGTCTCTTTGCGCTGTCGTCAGCGATTCAAGAGGCGCCCTGCAGGAAACGAAAATTTCAAATCATGATGCTTTGCATAGAAAAAAGTACACAGAAAGGGGTTTTCAGCAAATATATGAAAACACAAAACAGAAAATTCAGCGCGCTGAAAAGCAGTCTGTTTAGAATTCGAGTAAATCCAACCTGGATTGTAATTTCGGACTATTTATCCTCGAGGGAAAATACCAGCTGTTCAGCTCATTTTGCAGAACCGCTGCTGTGCGTTTAGTTCAAAATTGCATGCAATTTGTTGGTTTTTTTTTCTGCGCCGGAACATATTGCATCACCCTCAAACAACGAAACTTTGCCTCTCGCCCGTCTCATCGTGGACGTTCAACCACTTACTTTTCAACATGTAGAGTTAGCCACTTTAAGACCGCTGACTCACAAAGGTAGATAGGATGGGGGGTGCTAAATTTGCAAAAACAAAGTAGAGTGCTAGGGTTTTTGTCTCATTTTAACTTACTTTTGTCGCACCGAAGATATCAAAACTTTATAAAAAAAAGCCCTCAGTTGCGATCAAATCTATGCATAAGATTCTGCGATGAACCGATTTTGAAAACCTCGAGCTTTTTTCTAAAACTCGTTTTGCAAGGAAAGCTCGGGAAACCAATTTGGTCGATCTTACGGCCGACGCTTTTTTGCAAAAAAACTCAAAACTCAAAATTTTTTTCGAAAATCAGGTTTGACTTCTTTTGAACTCCGTACCTTTCATTTTCTGTGGTATATTCTTTTAACTCACCGGTTGCATGTTTTATATTCGTTAATGAAATTATATTTAATTCTAATTATTCCGACTTTCGAAGAAAAAATGGCATATTTATGCTTGTAGTTTTTTTAGTCAGTCAAATTTTGACAGAAGTTTTCTGCTCCATCTAAAACATTTTGTTGTCTGGGGCTTAAATCTAAAAAAAAATCACCAATGAAACTTTTTCGTAAAACTAAAGGGTGTTTGAAAAGTTCTAATTTGCCTAACTTGGGATTAATAAGCGCAATCGAGTAAGCGCCGGGTATTGAATTGGCATATTTTTTATATTTCTTTCATTTGACAGGTTAAATTAGCTAAACGCGGGGTCAATTAAAGAAAAAAATGAATACATTTTTTTTCAAGTATTCCGTCAATTTTGCAAACTAACTTTTTATAAATGGCCGTCGAAAAAATGAAGCGCAAGCAGAAATGAAGCGCAGTCGAAACATTCGGAATTTTGTTTTGATATACAAACAGTGCTTGTCCTAATGCTTTTTCTATAGTCCTTATGTTTGTTCTACCGAAAAAAGCTTGTCCTTTTGTGATGTCAAAAGCCTATTTTTACAATTCCCATTTACGGTAAAATAATATTCATACATTTCCTATTTTGGTCAAACTAATTAATTATAGAAAAAAAAACAAAATAAAACAAAAAAACTTTGAAAAAAATTGGTTAGTAGTAAAGAGTTCTTAAAAATTTCATCATCAGTTGAAAACATTTGCCAAAAAACTAAGAATTTAATTGTTAAAGCGTTATTATAAGTTTGTAATTATAAAAAAGTTAAAAATTTCTTTGAAACTTTAGAAAGACTTTCAATTGTCATAAATTGAAAACGTACGCCAAAAGTAGTGCGCCAATTTTGTTTGGTAATCATTTAAGTAGACCCAATAACAGGAACGAAAAAATGCATATAACATGCAATTCGAACTACAGAGCCAAATATCGAAATACGGAAAAAAAACACTAAAACTTTTGCCTATAACTAACACTAAAACTTTTGCCTATAACGTATTTTAACAAGACTGCTGCTCGTATCAGGGCCAAGTCCTGAGTGTTCTGAATGCCTTTCGATGTCTATGCTGCAGTAATAACATGAAAAAATTATATGTAATAAAAAAACTGCATTTTTTTTTCTAGTTGAGATTTTTTGTGAAAACCATCCCCCCACTCGCAATATAAAGTACAAAGTGATATATTTAGCTCCTAGTAACAAATCAATTATAGCAAATAAGCTTCCTTCAACCAACTTGGGACAATTTCTTAGACGGATTACATCTCTGCTTACGCGTTATTAGCGCAAAATATATCGCAATTTTAATTGTCCAAAATTGGCCAAAATGGCCAAAATGGCCAAAATGGCAATGTTTAAACCCCCATAAAATTTCGAAAAACAATCACAGGTAAAATACGTTTTCATTTTACGCTCAGGATGACAATACCTTTCGAATGATATCAAAAAAATGGGTCAAAATGGCTAGTTTAAAAGTCGAAATTTGTCTGAAGAAAAAAAAACCACCCCGAACACAAATATTCCGTTACTTTCGTATCGAAAGTCTGAACAAAACGTAGCGCAGCAAGTTGCTTAAGGCACAGACGAAGAAAACTATGTTAATTTTGCTCAAAATGCTGGGAACGAGCTTCTGGATTTTTAGAACGGCTAAATGTACTCAAGCTCTCAAAATTTTCTTGGTGTTCATTCTTTGGGATTGAATCCAATTTCTGGTTCCAAGAGGCAAGGTTTTTCTATCACCGCGTCGGAAAATTTTAATTCAAAACTTTGTTAAATGCAGAAAAAATAGAACCAAGTTGCCACTGTTTAGATTTTGAAAGAACAAAATTTCGTCCGTGGCAGTTTCATTTTCATTAATTTGCTTGGTAGGCGTTTGCGTTACTTAAACGTCTGTTAAATTTCTCTCCTGTTGTGTTATTGAGGTCGAGTTAGAGCTTTCGATAAAACTGCGATAAAATTATGTCGTCATCTTTTTCCGCATTTTTATCTCGACTCTAACTTCAGCTAATTGAACCGTGAACATGTGCTAATTTTACGTGAACGTGTGCTAATTTTACCAATTTTGGATCGCAGTTTTGCCAAAAATAAGCCCTACCTAGATTCAAATTCTTATAAGAATCTTATATCCAAATTCAAATTCTTATAAGATTCTTATAAGATTCTTGCCAGGTAAATGCATTTACTTACAAGATTCTTAAAAGAATTTGTATTTTAATAACAGCCGTGTAGTTACAAATTGCATTTGATATTAGGGTTCTTGAGAAAACTAAAATAAGTGTTACGTCCACATTTGATTGCTCAATTTTTGCTCGAAAGTTCGAAAAATGAGACGACATTTTGAGAGGGTAGTACTTTTTTAAGACCACATAACCACAAACCAAAAAACATTACAATCGGACAACATGAACAGATAAATGCTTTTACATAAGTTTTCATTCATGGATTTGCTACTTTTAACAGTTCTTTGCTACTTTTAACTTTAACGCATACTTACTTGGTCGGACGGTATTCCTCTTTCGGTCGCCAGACCTTTTCGGCCATCGGGTGTTTCACGTAGTCTATCCTGTGATTGGTCAAGTCATCCAGGGGATCCTTGTTCACCGAGGCCACATTCTCTGGCTTGAAGCTCCTCGTCATCGGCAGATCCAGGGGCACGAAGTCGGTCCGGTTGGTGGTTCGATTCTCCATCGTGGCGCTCGGAGGAACATACATCTTGTCTTTTTTGATCGCCTCTGGCTTAGATGCTTTCCACGCCCTGTAGTCGTCCTTGT